TTTGTGGCTTTCACCGGATGCGCTCGTCCTTTTTCCTTTCATCTGCTTCACTGCGGTCGCATGCTTTACACCGAGTTCGTGCTCCATAACATGCAGCACACAACCGTTCACCAAAATCAGATTTCCAATACTGCAGCCAACGGCATTTCCTCGCGCGATGCATAATGGGGCAGTTCAGTACACAGTCCCGGGCACATAGTTTAAAACGCAGAAAAACGATGATTTAGCCAGAACAGATCAGAAAGTAATAGAGAGCATGAACAGAAACAAAAATAACTTTGTCGAAGTTGAATTTTAACCGATTTTTGTTGAAAAAAGTAGTAAAATATGCGTTTTAGATGCGCAATCGTTTGCGAAATGCTGTGATCGGTCCGACCGCGACCAAAGCATCGGTGCTAGAAACACTGGAATATTTGGGCACCCATTTAGCAGCACATTCACCATCCGAACGTGCTGCATCCGCATACTGCCTCACATTACTTCTCAATGTATGTGATTACAGCATTTAATGTTACTCTTTCTTTTTCTTCACTTATCGAAAAAGTGTTAATCAGACGAGAAATTTAGGGTTGTTGGGGCTGGACTTGGGGAAGTTATTGCATATTTTAGTAGGGAATTCAGTGCGTGGGAAGCCAAAATCGACAAGGAAGCGGCATTTATGAAATGCGTCGCGTTTATTGGAGTGGTTTACTGAAAATCATGAGCTGATTTTCCAACTGTGTAGCTAGAAACTTTTTTAGTCACATTAATTAATGAAGCCTGCTAATCAGTCTTTTCTTGATCCCGCCTTCCGTTTCTATTCTTGAAAGCATTATCAAGCGACGGGCTCCTCAGAGGAGAGCTCTTGACAAGATTTTAGCCTTTTCGAAAAGTTCTTGATATCTTTGGACAGTATCATGTTAATTCGGATGCTGCCACTCACGGAATACAATGGGGAAGAGGGGAAGGGAGGGGCATTTACCAACTAAAAGCAGTGCATTTTTGCTTGAAATTCAATAAAATTCTACACTTCTGCATTTATTGCCGACTGCAATACGAGTAAATTTTGCAGCGCGACACGAACATCCAGGCATCACCGATTGCAACGAACGCAACTCCCGCTTGCAGCCTTCAGAATATTGCATTCTTTGCTGAACTAAAGGTACCGTTAAATTGTTGAAAACAATGCTTTTTTTCTCAAAAATCCCAATAAATTTTTTCCTATATTTTATGCATTTTTCCA